TATTCATCTATCTAATTATCAAGATATACATGCGTATCTATAAATCATGCTATTCTAATAGCGCATGTTGGCCTATATACGATAACTGATAGTGGTCAACAGTTGAATAGCATGAAGTGGTCAACAGTTGAATAGCATGAAGTTTATATATACATACATATTGTATAAGGCGTTTTTAAATGGCGAGAATTCTAAAAAGTTAAGATACCCTTCTTATGCACACACAGAATTATCAAAAATTCTAAATTGCACATCTTTAGATGTCGATAACTCATATAATGAACGAAATTCACTAACTGATACTTGTTTTGGAAGCATGAGGAGTAAAAATCAAATTTTTTAATTTTGGTATTTTAAAGTTTTAACTACAGACAAAACTTCCGCGACCAGTTACGGTCTAGCATATCAAGGTAGATACATTAACGTAGATATACCCGGAGATGTCAAGGATTTCGTGGAGGCACACTGTCTAAACAGTTTTAAGACAATTGGAACGTGTTATAGAATCATAATACGGTGTTAACTTAAATTCAAAAAATAAATCAGGCTTATTGTGTCCGTAAACGGAGCCATGTTATTAAGGTGACCATACACAGTTGGGGAACTCAAAATAGAAGATAAATTTAGTCTTAACCAAGTTCAAGAAATAATACAGGTTTTGTGTACATATTTCCGTATATTCATCCAAGTATTTAGAATGCTCGGAAATGAAGCACAATTATTACGATGTACATGTTGAACAATAAGTTAAATTATCTGTGTAACATCTTTCAGTAACGAAAGATATATGTGCCCTCCAAAATAAGTTTATTGGATTAATAGGTAGACAAGCTACATGCTTTGAATATTATATGTAATTTTTAGTTTACTGTATTTCATTTTATTCTTTGTTTTGTAAAACAAATTAGCGGATCACAATTATACCATAATCTATACAAGATGAATAAAAAAATTGGGAATTTAAAAACCTGCAAATAGGGATCGTAAAAAATGAAAGGAAACAAGGCTGTAGATATACTGTAGACATTATTTACTCAAAACCCCTATTTTGGCTCCATGCTGTTACCCAGAATTACATTTGGTGGAGCCAAAATAGGGATTTGTAGTTTGAGTATCTCCAGCCTTGTTTCCTTACTTTTTTTACGATCCATATTTGAAGGTTTTTAAATTCCCATTTTTTATTTAGCTGGATTGCTGGCTTTTCTTATGCTCAACTCTGGGCAAAAGATTACATGATATAGTAGTTAACTTTATACATTGTAATGATAATAAGCATGGCTATCAGCTAAATGATACGGTTCATGATGATTTACTGTAGCTATGGACTATTGATCGCATTAGTTCAAGGTGTAAAATGTTAAACTGCAGCTAAAGATTGTAATGGGAACTTGTTTGAGAATATAATGAGCATTTATAGTTGCTGTGTAACTACATTCTCTCTAAAAAAATGCATAACAATGGCCAAATATATGCCTATACTAAGACACAACCCTCACTAAGCATATAAAATTTTACCAGTAGAAAAGCAGTATTTTCAAATAAAATATATACGTCTAAAACATCGCTTTAAATAAACTTTCGTGTCTTTTAAAGTAATTATTCTACAAATATGTGTAACAAAAATTAATATTATGTATATTGATGTTTTCTTTTACTCCTTCACTTCATACCTAATATAGTGGTTGGCTCCCTAAAGACACCGATTGTATAGTGCACAAAGCACTGAGTATTCTACATGTTACAGTCATCTAATTTTTATCTCTTATTGGCTGGTAATTCCTGTTTCACCCTGTACTTACGCTTTTTTAATGAACATCAGATATTTATAGAAAACCAAACTTCAAGGTGTAATGATAGCATTATTTACACTATAATTATGATGTTTTTTAGCTTATATAAAATATAGAAGAAACAAATCGACTTTTCAATACCCCTGCGATCTTTACGGTACCTTATTTAGTATTCTACAAAAGGTTTGCGTGCAATATACCAAGTCATATATTTTGTAGCTGGCAAGAGAATAATAATAAAAAAAGAAGAATTACAAACGGGCCATTTTGAGCGGATTTTCTTTTTCTTGTAAGTCTAACATCCATGCTTTTTTTGTGCATTTTTATATGTGTACAGCCTTAGCAGTCAATAGTAAAGGTTTTAAAGTGTTGTTTCAACTGGTTCTTTACTGTTTAAGGTGCTTTTGGCCCGAATGTTCTATTAGGGTTTTGTGCAATTCCTTGCGATCCGCGCAGATAGCCCTCGTGTAGCTTTGCGCGAAATTCCAAACTAACTAAACAAACAAACCTTGTGATCCCTAGTATGAACCTATATCATGGTTCATGATAAAGGATCACTATTGTAAGGAGTTAAGCGTGTAAGAGCTATAAGAAAAATTGTTCTTTCGTTGATAACTGATATGCAAGGTTTTACATTATGTAATAGAAGCCTGCAACATTTATGTCTGTAAAAACAAAATTGACAGTCTTTGCTGTACTTAGTATAAGCTACAGAAAATAATGTATTCAGATTATCGAGATACTGAAATGAAATTTAAAAAAGGTCACCTATGACAGTAATTAATTGGAAACTAAAATCGTTAACATAAATTTATAATATTAAACTTACACAAAGCTGACGAGTTTTGTTGTCATTTTTTCAAAACAACAGCTTTCATCTCGAAAATTAAATTCAGGTTATGCTTAAATACTTTGTAAAAGGAAAGAGATCTACGGTAAGTAGAAGAAGAAGAAGAAATAGAGGAATGTGTAAAATAATGGAGCATGCTTGAGCAAACACGATTGGGTACTATCCTTCCAACTAATACAACCTGGAAAATCATTCAAAATGAAATGAAATATGAAAACGTGATATTGTAACTAATGTTCTGAATCAAGTGGCAGTTGTAATGCATTAACCTCAAATAACTAAGGATACAATTCTACAGAAATTAAAAGGAAATAAATACTGAAAAATAGCTGTGTATATAAAGAATACCAAATCGTAGGATGATGGGGAAAAAAGGCTCCTTCACACAAGAATTTGTAAATAAAAATGGATGTACACGTTGTTAAAAAAAGACACGAAATTAGAGAGAGGGCAGGTAGGTTAACAAGTGAACAAACAAAGGAATCAGCAAACATTCGCCACGTAGGGCCGCCTTAAATCTATGATTCTAGATTATAAACTAATAATTTATTTACTTTATTTGCGCATGGAAACACATTATGCAAATATAATATTAACTTGGCAAACAACTGTATATAAGAATAATGAAGTAAGTGGTTTTATTTTGTGAAGTAGCATAATACATGTTTCCTGAAGAAGACCAATGTTCAGTTGAAACATGCAGTATGTTCCCCAAAATAAAACCACTTCATTATGACTATAAATCGTTTTTATGTCATTTTACTGCTATTGGCCTTATTTTTAACGGTTTGTGATTATGCAATACTGTTACAAATTTGGGCAACTAAAAGAAATTCTTAAAAAAGTTTACACCACATTGGTATCTTTCACCCAGTTTTGTTTTGTTTTTCAATTAGAGTTAATTTTTAGTTAGAGATAACTTTCGATGCTTTTCAGAAACTCTCATCATGCAAATTCATTAAGTCTGAAAACGGCTTCTGAAGATGGTTGAAAGCTATCTTCAATAAAATAAAAGTAAAATAAATTGATGCAAATTATTAACGTGATGTCAACCCATTTTTATTAACTACTTTTAATTTTTATTCAATTATCACCCATATTACGAAAAAGGTTTACTTTTCAAGCCCTTGATGGTACCTGTGGATTTTTTTTTCAATGCATATTTTCGAGCAAGCTTAATTCATGCGTCACTTTATGAAGTTCAAGAATCAGTCCCGGATCATCTTACTTCAAGGCCGATGTGTTTCAGCAGAAAGGTCACAGCAGCTGGCGGCACTCTAGTTGCTAGAGTAGTCTAGCAGATACTTGAGATTACTCCACGAGTGATTAAATGTTTTCTGTTTCTTGGTGGTTATTCAAAATCAGATGTATTTATGCTGTTTTCCATGCAACAAACTTTGGCCCAATTTTAAAATTTTACGGGATCTAAGAATGATCGAGACTTTTTGTGAAATGAAGGTTTTTAACTGTGTCTTGGGGATTTACTTAATCCGAAAAACTAACATTCTTAATATAACATTGAATGTTAAAAAACGTAGCCTAGCATTAGTTTTATAAATTTTGTTTCTTTACAAATGGAGAGAAAATGAGTACATAACTAGGGACTAATTTTTATTATAACACAGAATGAGCTATCGGATTTGTCCCACCGGTGGGACATCGATAAGTTTACGGACTCACAACGCTGAAATCAGGGGTTCGTTCCCCCGCGGTAGCCACAACTGATAGCCCAATGTGGCTTTCCTCTAACAACAAGCAAATAAACATTCGGAATTTTCGCTAAGAAAATGGCGACACTTCGATTTTTCAAAGGAATATTGCTGAGGTAAATCAATAAAACATACTTCTAGATCTACATTTATTCAAGCACATAATGATCACTGAAGATAAATTATCTGTCTCTATTGCTTCTTTGAGTTCCTATCTATGCGACAAAAATACATTTTCACAGTAGCAAACGACAAATGTTGATTGGCCATATTTACAAACTTAAATAAGCCGTTCCAATAAAATGAGATTTATAAAACCACCAATCAGCTGTCCCTCGTCCTTCAATCACCTTCTGTTGCCATCCCTAATTAGGAGTAAAGTAAAGTCGGTGACCTGTGGGGGGGAAATAGGGCCGGTAACGAAGTGCATAAGAATAACTCTGAAAGCAGAAGTTTTAATAATTCGACTACATAATAGTCCTTGAGAAATTTGGTAAGTTTTTCATGCCAACAAAATCTTTGTAAGGAAAAATTAAAAATATATAGCAGAGAGATATGTCTACCCTAGTGGAGCCAACTTGCGTTAACAACAGCCATTGAAAGTCACTGTGCTTCGTTCATTGGTCCATTTGGGCCGGCTAGTCTCGCTCACACAACCACATCATTGTCGTGGCAGTGACTAGGCGCTAAAACCGAAGGGGCCTGCGTGAGAGGCTAGCTGTTTATGGTGTGTTTTGTACAAACCGATTCATGGCACGAGTTTAGTGTTAAAATCTTATTGAAGTACTTAGTGAGTTTGTTTTCTTAGCTTTCGCAAAAAAAGAGTTCGGATGCGATAGATAACCTCAAATGTGTATGCTTTTTATATCTTATTGTTGGTGAATCCAAAGGACAAAATGATCTGCTGGAGAAAGTCAGCTGGATAGATTGCTCTGGTGGTTAACCAAGTTGTTTGCCACTACGCGAGTATCGTCAACTTGATAAAAAAAAATCGAAATACAAGATACCCTAATGTTAGGAGTATAGAGAAAATAACGTGTCACATTAAGATATCGTTTTTGTGGTCTTGGATTCTTTGTGTTTGAGCCACAAACTGTTTTATAAATGATCAAGCTTTTTCTTCTATTAATTGACGTAACATCGTTAGTAACAGGTACCATAAGTGGCTACAACTAATATTGTAATTTAAAGTTATCTAAAGTAATCACGAATAAATGTAGTTCAGGTGGAACTGAGATGAGTAGTGCTTAGAAAGATGTGCTTATCTTAACCGATCACCAAACGTTTCTTGTATCAGAAATACCCAGAAAGGGTTTGTGTTTCACCATACGGTAAGCATATATATATATGTGTATTGTAGTGTGTGTGTGTACAAAAAAATCAGTAGAGAATTATTAACGTTATCTTTGTAAGACTCGAATGGCAAAACACTAAACTAAATTAATTTGTATGTTGTCATGGTGAAAAGGAATTAAAAAATATAATTCACAGACCACTGCTTTAATGTTGCAATGGCCAATTTTGTGGGTAATAAATCCATGTTTACCAAATATTAATTATAGTAAATTTTACCAAGCCATGAGGCGTAGTTATAATTACTCTTAATTTTTAAAGCTTAACTCATAAAATATTCTGCACAAGCTAAAAGTAAAACAAATCATTTGGCACTATCTAGGACAAATAAGAAAAAAACCCGTTGTAACTTTAGGGAACAACTTGATAACCATGGTTATCTGTTATTGTGTTATTCGTTTGCAAATCGGTATTTCAGAGAGCCATTTTTCTAAAGTGTTAATTTATTTATGCACCAAATGTCGTGAGTGTTCGCGATTTTATTGGCGACAGGGCTTCTAATGACATATGATTGCCACACATGGACACACACAATCTAAACAAACATCCCACCAGTATTACCGATTACTGCTGAATATTTTATTTTCGTAAAAAAATAGTGATTTCATCCATTATTTTTCGCCAGTTCTGTAGACTGAATATTGTAACAAGTAAAAACAAAAAAATATTCAATAAGATGCCGTTAGTGAACAGTATAAAACTATAAAGACAGTTTGTGGATTAATATATAATACGACATTGATATATATATATATCTGTTGTATTCTTAATAAGCATTTGTAAATATACATATTGTAAATTCATAGTTTGTTATTTATAGAAGTTTAATGTATGAAAAGCTCCGCTAATACGACAAATCTGTATTATCTGACACTATCAACAAAACTTACTATGAAATGAAGTAGAGAAAACCACATAAATGGCGTGTAATCGAAAGGTAGAACTAAATAATTAATCAATCATTATGTTCTGTAATGTCAAGAATGTTGATTGCGATTTGGAGAATCGTTGAAGTGTGTAAAATTAAATAGGTTTTAAAAGTAAGGTTTGGGCAGACAAATTATCTTGTTCGAACACAAGTTACAAAAGACGTATGGTACTGTTACATTTGTAGTAAGTTTTTTATTTTAAAGCTCTTGCTGGTGTTGAGAGTCCTAGTTTCATACTGTTATAACAAAGTAATGCGATCATCAAAGTTCAAAAAATCAGAAAGAAATGTTTGCTAATCCTCGTGAACAGTATTTTACTAAAACTGAGCTACTATTTCTGGTACATTTGTTTAATATAATGATAACATTCGACTATCGACGACAGAATAACCCGTTTTCGCCACAGTTTTTGTGAAGTTAAAACATAGCTTTTGGATTGTATTAACAGTTGAAATGTGTTTAATTTCATAGACATTTGACACTTCAAGGCTGTGGTTAGTGCATCGAATGCTACCAAGCCTCATATTCTTATTTAAACGTTCTCATCTTTTCTTTCTACAAGCCGTTGTGACTTTAGAAACCCGGAATCCATTCATTCATGTAATAAATTACATTATGAAAAAAAATGTTTTTGAAAGAGCAGATTATGTGGGTTTCTACACCTCAATGTGCGTTCTGAAGTTGTTATAAAAAAAGAGATGTTTTTATGCTTGAACCAGTTTGAAGTATATATTTGGGACAAGAAGACACTTAACAGAGGGAGAAAAGTAGACTTTAAATGGTTACCCTTTGTTCTGTCTGGATGCAAGATTTCTCTAGAGGCTTAGTCATTTGGAAGTAAGGATATTTAATATGAATTGTCTATAGGGCAGTTTTTTCTCTGGTAGCCTCCAGTTCTGTACTTATGATAACCAGTTCTCTAAGTTTACCTTACCATCAAGCAGTTGTACTTCAGTTGGGTACCGCATTTAGCATTGTTAGAAACGTGAATGTACTTTCTGTACACACATTCAGAAACAGTTTGTTTTTAATTGCAAGAAGAAAAATAATACTTAGTGCTTGTATTTACACGTAGTCATCATTTGTTAAGAACCATCAGTTTTTTTAAATTATCTCATTCCAATGAATAAATACACCAAAGATCGCCCATTCTCCAGATTAGATGTTAACACGTTGTTGTTTGTTTGTTTGTAGTTACACAATGAGCTATCTGTGCTCTGCCCACCACGGGTATCGAAACCCGGTTTCTAGCGTTGTAATCTGCAGGCATACCGCTGTGCCATGGGAGGGCCTCTTTTTATTAAGCTTAAAAGTAGTACTTAATTGCAAACATAAAAATGTCACAAATCTACATGGAAAATATTGTAAAAAATAAAATAAAAGATCCAGCCGACTCTGGGTGATTCGTTTTAAGTAAAGAATATGTTGCCATAGCAAACATTAAAACTGAAGCAATACTGTTTTTTTTTTTAACGAACCCTAGACTGTCATGTTAGAACAGTAAGTTTGTTTTAGCAATGCCAATAACCTCGTTTCCGGTATATCGTAGCGGCTTGCACATCTTATTAGGTTCCGCAACTACAAGTTCATTTTCAGCACTCGTTTACCCTTCGTTAGCCCAAGCTGAATAGGGGCGTATTATCGCATAAATATACTTCAAACATGAAGTAACCGTCTGTGTTTGTGAGAAATATTAGAAAAATGAAATCGTAATGTAGATATATATATAATCGTATTTACATTACAGTATAAATATGTGTCTATTTACACCAAATCTGTATATATAATATATTCATAATTTTTAATAAATTTGATATTTTAAGCTTAAGAACCACATTTTCATTTGCTAGATGTAGATATTAAAAAACAAAGATTACTTGTGTTAGTTTACTCAGTTAATATGTATATATATATATATGTATATCCAGTTTATACATATGTGTGGCGGGAAGCTTTGCGCATGACGCTAGTTTTATTTGATTTTTTTTATTTGTAGTCAATAAATAATAGTTAGCTTAGAAATTAGGGAAAGTTTTCTACATATATCTTTAAAAAGCATATTAGTGTTAGCCACTTAAAATAAACTAGTTGTCTTTGAATTATATTACAATTACTAATGATTTATTTTTAACAGTGCCGACTCCAGGATTCGGCAAGTGGGGAGGCGAAGGGGGTAGCAAAACAGATGGGCTTAGGGAGCGAAAGCTAAGTGAAAGAAAACGTTTGGAAAATAAATAAAGAAGCTATAGCGGCTAACCAGAGATTTTTTTAGCGGTTTTTTTTTCTTGTATATGGTTGCCTAGTAACTGAAAACATTCTATTAAAGGAAATGTAGCTTTTATAATGTTTTCAGTGAAAATTTGGGGGGGGCAGACATATTTCAGGGGTGGCGTCTGCCATCCCTAGCCTTGGCGTTACCACTACCTTTTTTTGTCTAAAAATTCGACAACGAATTTTTTCTTCATCATTGTGTTTGTTTATTTGTTTGTTTTAGAGTAAAGCCACACTGGGCTCTCTGCTATGTCTACCAAGGGGAATTGAACTCTGTGTGATTTTTAGCATCGTAAGTCCATCGGGGGAACTTCGTTACTGGGTGGTTTAAAGAAAAAATAAAAATCGAAGGTTTTAACCATTAAATTTAGGTCATTCTCCTTCACTCTGTCAGAAATACTTTCTTTAAAAAATACAGTTCGTGTGTTAATTTAAAAAATAATTTATCTTATTATATAAAATAGAGTTATCTGTCTGTCCACTGTTTTGGCTTTACAAGCTGTATCGAGAAAGTAGCTTTATTAATGTCGATTAAATATGGTAGAGGAACTCTGGTTGACTTTCAACAAAGATAATGCTTAAATGGATAACCCGTCGGACGAATAGTTCGAGCTTAGCAGTCAATTTAGTTTTTATTATCTGAAGTCAACGCCAAACGAGAGTGAAGTTTAATGTCGTGCGTAGCAAGGGTACTTTTACTTGTTCATCGTATACAGAAGGCCAACATGGCAATGATGCACACGCACACCATCCCGCCATTCTCGTGAAGCCAACAGATGAATGTGATGCGAAGCACGGGCGTATTTGCTAGTTGTTTTGGTATAAAAAAACAAAACAAATAATTTGAGATGTGGATGTGTCCAAAGTCATGCAGATTATATTAGGCGTATAAAATGTAAAGTTTGTTTGTTTGTTTGTAATTAAGCACAAAGCTACACAATGGACTATCTGTGCTCTGCCCACCACGGGTATCGAAACCCGGATTCTAGTGTTGTAAGTCCGCAGACATGCCGCTGTGCCACTGGGGGCTAAAACGTAAAGAATACTAAATTACACAAATAAGCAAAGTGTATCATTATACATGTGTTTTATATGTTTCAATGTGCAATGGTGAATCAGTACTTTTTAGCAGAAAAATAGTTTTTACAGACGAAGTGGTAAAACGAAAAGGACTATTTCTTAAAGCGATAATTCAATTAAATGTTCGAGGTTATTTTTGAAGAATGTGTTAGTCTGTTTGTTGTTGAGTTTTGTTACACAGTAAACTTATTCTTTAAGAACATTGTCATATACAAGTAACAAAACATTAAGTATAATATAGGGATGGCAATGCTACAAAGTACAGAAACAAAATAGGGATGAATGAATACAAAAAACCCATAAAAACTCACTACCAAAGTAGCCAAATCTTTCCAATAATAACTTTTATCTACAACTAAATGTTGAATTCCTGTCAGTGACACGAATTCGGGTTTGAATAACAACATTTAAACTGAATAATGCTATACAGTCTTAGAGTGGCTATCAATCATAAGCTTGTAAGATTTACTTATGTAGGGGTTTTGGTATGGTTTTGTATATTTATCCCTACCTTGTTTCTGTGTTTTTTGGCATTGCCATCCCTACATCATACTTAATATTTTGCAAATCTTTTTTATTACTTGTTTTTCCTTTTTTTAAGCAATTCCATTGAAGTAGATTGATAAATGACCATTTGTTTCATTTTTGTACTTCAACATTAATATATATTGTTAATATGATATCAGTGTCTTTAAATT